AAAATCCCACAGTCTAAAATTGACGAGATGATACTCATAGTGCTCCAAAGGATCAACGAACTCCACGAAGTGAAAGGAAGATCTACTAGATTTTAATTAAATTAAATCATATTATTCATGTGAATATGACTGAAAATGTGGTGTCTATTTACTTGTGACCACGCTGTGTAGGTGTGTGAATTTAAACTTCATAAAAGTTGGCTACCAAATTTTGAAAGTAATATTGATTTTTTTATCACGTAAGACTTTTTTACAAGTCGGAAAGAAAAAATAACTTACTTAGATAAAATTATTATTTCGTTTACCACAATGAACATTTTTTATTATTATGTTTGTTAATAAGAATACAAACAAACTGAAGAAAAGAGAAGAACATTGATGTCAAACGAATATGAATCCTCATCCATCCTGATGTTTTTGTGAAATCTACGTCTTTTAGTCTCAAAACTACGTGTTGTGGTCTTTCTTTTAGGTATTGCGTCTGGAGCATCTCGTTTCAATGACCAGCAGTAACCAGCCATTTTGCTGATATTCCGCCTTCCCTGATACTTCCTCTCCATTTTCTTGATGTCTTGAAGAAACCTTTCCCCTTGTTCTTCGCTGACGGCACCGGGATTTTCAGGGAAATAGTCAATATGTGAATGTAAGAAATGAACATTCAAGCTCATATTACAACACAACTCTTTGAATTTTTCGAGCTTGTTATTGACAACAACATCTTTAATGGCAATCCACGTTTCTCTTTCAACTTTCCTCATTGTACTTTCGAAATGTTCATCCGAAATCAATTTCCTAATCTGAAGCCCAACAAAAATCACTTCTTTAAGTTTCGCTTCTGAAAGAGCTGGGAATTATCCATATAGATACTTGAAACAGTCGCCATCTTTGTCTAAGGCCCTTACAAACTGCTTCATCAAGCTCAGTTTAATGTGAAAAGTTGTGGTTCACCAGACGTTTCAGGTTGAAAACAATCGCTATCATCATTTCTATTGACATCAGATTCAGAATCAAATGAAACTACCAAGAGTCTCCTGTGTAGTAGGTACAGGTACTTCAGGTCCATGAGCAACAGGTCTTATAGCAGATTGAAGGTTCGGATAAGAATTTCCTTTTTATTTCGAGTGTTGGAGCCTTGCATGTTATATGAGCAAAAATAGCAGTTATCTCCATGGTTTCTAGGCTAATGGTCTTCTGACCAATGGAATTCCAAAAGGCAAAGACTTTTTTTCACCTTTATTCCATTGTCTCAGTTCTTCGACACAAACTTTGTGTGGAGCCCATGATTTGTCTTGGTCCCCAAGTTATATTCCAAAATATGTGTAATACGATTTTTTGACTAATTCTATAATGTTTTGCCTTTATTTGTTAACAACAATTTACCACAAATATAACAGAATATGTTTGGATCATTTACACCACCTCTTTTTTTTTTTTTGCCATAGCGACCAATAAATAATATTGAAAAGAAAAAAGTAATGTCAAAATGCACGTACAAACAAATGCTACCCAAATCTTTACAGTAATGACTTTTAACTTAATCATCGTGTTTTTGAGGTGTTTTATTTACAAAACAGATCAATACAATTACATTTACCATGATACGTGATTATTCTACATTTATATTCTACATGTTCTTTTCCAGAACTGTTGATATTCAGTACATCAGGAACTTAACAAAGCGACTCATGATTGATCTGTACTCTATATAAAACTTTATAAAATCGAACACTTTAGATGTTTACACACTACAGTACCATGCTATAACCTGGGAACACACATCTGGTTATTATCAGTGAACCTGGGAACACATACCTAGTTATTATCAGTGAACCTGGGAACACACATCTGGTTATTATCAGTGAACCTGGGAACAGATACCTAGTTATTATCAGTGAACCTGGGAACACACATCTGGTTATTATCAGTGAACCTGGGAACACACGCCTCGTTATTATCAGTGAACCTGGAAACACATACCTAGTTATTATCAGTGAACCTGGGAACACACACCTAGTTATTATCAGTGATAAATAGAGAACCTGGGAACACACATCTGGTTATTATCAGTGAACCTGGGAACACACATCTGGTTATTATCAGTGAACCTGGGAACACACATACCTAGTTATTATCAGTGAACCTGGGAACACACACTTCGTTATTATCAGTGAACCTAGAAACACATACCTAGTTATTATCAGTAAACCTGGGAACACATACCTAGTTATTATCAGTGAACCTGAGGAACACATACCTGGTTATTATCAGTGATAAATAGAGAACCTGGGAACACACATCTGGTTATTATCAGTGAACCTGGGAACACACACCTGGTTATTATTTGTTTTTTAGCTAGAGGGAACTAATGATGGTGGGAAATTAGGCCTAGAAAGTTCTAGGGATCTGATGTTAGGTTTTCTACTACATTGGAGGGTACGTTACAAATACAAGATGGTGGAGTTATTTCATGTTGGTTATGAAGATAAAGAGTTGTTTCTCTACGGTAGAATGCGTTTTCGTTTTTAGTGGAGTATTTGGATCTGTGTTAAATATTGCGCATATTTTGTACAAGTAAGTTTATTTTTACGTTAATAGGGCGCACTTAGCATCGTTTATAAAAGTAGACCTACAAAAAGCTACAACAGTGTACAAGTGTTCAAGCTTGTAGAAATGTGAAAGAAGAAATAAAGTGACTTGTTATCGTGCTCTGTACTTTGAATTATTTTCCTCAGATGGTTTAATGGAACCCACCAACGAAAGAACAATGTTACAACAGCATATCATTTATTTATTGCTACTTTCATTAATCATTACATTTGCTTTGATTTATTGAGTATCATTATAATTTTATATTAAGTGTATTTAGGAATAACATAAATCTTCGAAACTGGCCGATTCTCATGAGATATTATCAGGATTACTGTCGAAAATATCATTAACAGGGAGTGTATCCAACTGGTGGGATAAATCATACTAATCTTTATTATAAGAAACGTAAAAATGTATATTTAATTAGCTATAATGACTGATAGGTTGATTTTTAGTTTCGCTGTAAGTATCGAGCTTGCTCTGACTGGAAATTAATATTAGTTTTAGAGGCCAATTATTTCTCCAACTAGTCTGAACACATAAGAAGTGTTTTGTTTTATAAACTCAGTCGTCTATGATAAAGTTGCAATGTTGCAGCAGTGGAATGTATTTTATTGCTATTTCGTAACTATTTAATTGTGAATTATTTCTGCGGGATGAACATCTACAAAGAACGAAATAAAGTGTTTAACTGTAGGATATAATGTTATTTACAGTAGCTCAATAACCTGCAACATAAAGTGTTTAACTTACTCTTGTTTAACTGTAGGACATAATGTTATTTACAGTAGCTCAATAACCTGCAACATAAAGTGTTTAACTTACTGTTGTTTAACTGTAGGGAACATACTGTTATTTACAGTAGCTCAATAACTTACAACATAAAGTGTTTAACTTACTCTTTTTTTAACTGTAGAATAAGCTGTTAGTTATAAATACACGATAACTTTAACATAAAGTGTTTAACTTACTCTTTTTTAACTGTAGAATATGCTGTTAGTTATAAATACACGATGACTTTAACATAAAGTGTTTAACTTGCTCTTTTTTAACTGTAGAATATGCTGTTAGTTATAAATACACGATGACTTTAACATAAAGTGTTTAACTTGCTCTTTTTTAACTGTAGAATATGCTGTTAGTTATAAATACACGATAACTTTAACATAAAGTGTTTAACTTACTGTTGTTTAACTGTAGGGAACATACTGTTATTTACAGTAGCTCAATAACCTACAACATAAAGTGTTTAACTTACTCTTTTTTTAACTGTAGAATAAGCTGTTAGTTATAAATACACGATAACTTTAACATAAAGTGTTTAACTTGCTCTTTTTTAACTGTAGAATATGCTGTTAGTTATAAATACATGATAACTTTAACATAAAGTGTTAACTTAATCTTGTTTAACTGTGGAATATTCTGTCAGTTATGCTACACGATAATTTATAACATGTTTTATGACTTAATTATCTAAAAGTTTGGGCTTTGAACTCTACAAAACATTGAACAAAATCAGTTTAAAAATATATCTTATGAACCTAAACTGTAAAACACATCAAGAAATTTAACCTTTAAACACGTTAATCCCCTGTGTCTGTAAAAACGCATAATAACTTAACCCCCTGTCTCTATAAAAACATATATAAACTTAACCACCTGTCTCTGTAAAAACATATCTAAACTTAACAACCTGTCTGTATAATATAAAACACATATAAACTTAACAACCTGTCTGTAAAATAAAAACATTTATAAACTTAACACTCTGTCTCTGTAAAAACACATATAAACTTAACAACCTGTCTGTAAAATAAAAACATTTATAAACTTAACCCTTGTCTCGGTAAAAACACATATATAAATTTAACCCTCTGTCTCTGTAAAAACACATATAAACTTAATAACCTGTCTGTATAATAAAAAACACTAATTACTTTAGTAAAAGAAATCTAATATTTTAGTGATCATTTAAAGGTAAAAGTGTAACTACATATTATCTTACCATATATGAGAAGTTAAAGAAAAATTATTATTATTATTCAATCCTAAATGCTGTAGTCACTAGTATTGATCTCAACACCATCCTATGAAAACGTGAGCAAGTTAAAAAGCCCCCCCCAAAGAAAACATTGCTGTAAATACTAGTACTGATTACAGTACTTCCCAAGGAAATATGTGTAATTTATGAATGTCCTGAAGAGATAAAACAAAGGTATAAATTGATCATCCTTGATATGTTTTTAAGTTACAATTTTTAGGTTTGGTTTGTTTTGAATTTCACGCAAAGCTACATGAGGGCTATTTGTACTAGCCATCTCTACTTTAGCAGTGAAAGACTAAAGGGAAGGTAGCTGGTCATCAGCATCCACTGTCAATATTTGTGCTACTCTTTTGCCCCCACAGTTGAAAAAGCATATTTGGTGGGATGCGGATATGAAACCTTGGTCCACAGATTGTGAGTCAAGCACCATAACCATCTGGCCATGCCAGGCCACTATTTTTTGAATAGCATGAATTAAATTGATTAACTTAATCAAAGCATGAACAAAACCTTACTTATATAATGTAGGGACAGTTCATTCAACTTAATTGATAAAAATAATTGAACCAGTTTTCGTAGAGATCTACAAGTAAATTGGGTTGGTGTTATCAGTTGTTTGTTAATATAGTTTCCAACGTAATTCTTGAACTCTTTCAACTGATACAGGAACTATATGCTGCATTTTATTTTGTAGAATAATACACAGTGAGAATATATGTATGGGTCAATATTTAATAACTCTCCAACTAGTTTTCAATCTTGATATTTTTAAACACAAAAACAGATTTATCATGCTACACTTCACAAGTAAGGGTCCAGTCCTCATCTTAAGACCAAAGCTTATTGATAATATTTAAACATCAATTATGTAAAGCTACTTGGCCATACACATATGAAAATTGTTTGTTTATTATTCCAAGACGAAATACAAAGAAACAGACTACTTATATTTTTTAATCATTCAAATTTCATACAAAAAGGATTGAAATAAAAAGTACAGATAAAAAGCTAATACCATGAATGAAACATTCAAGAACTGTAAAAAACATTGGTGGTTACAAATGCATAAATTTTTGAAACTGTTAAAAACTCATAAGATAAAATACTCAGTTCAAAAGTTTGGGATATTATTTGAGAGGAGTAGGAAGTAATATTTCCTTTCCATACTGTCCACATGCAGTACATACACAGTCTTTTGGTTGGTAAAAAGTTTTCTTCAGTTGACTTCCATCCTCACAGTCCAACAAGATCTCTCGTTTATCTGACCCACTGGCTGTGCAGCAGTCACAAGAACTCACAAAGTTGTCTTCTTCTAAACAGTGAAAACGTAAGAAAAAAATATCACCTTACATAAATAATGATCTCCAACAGTAAAAAGTTACAGAAAGGTAGGGAAAAGAATGGTAAATTCCTTGATGCCCAAAATAAGATTAATGGAGAATGGTATAAACCAGATTATTAATTACACTCAATGATCAGGCAACTGCTACAATATCCACCAACTTAATTAACCAAAGTGTAAAGAAATACTTTTACTAAAAGAAACCTTAGAATCAAAAATATATTTACACAGTTTCAGAAAGTTAATTGTATTTATGGAAGTATTTCTAATTATTAAAGTAAATTATTTTTATAACCAAATAAAATAACTTTTACAGCAACTTCACAGGAATTAATTATTTATCTTCACAATGAAGACTAAATATCTATCTTTACTAGGGAGACTATCTATGAATACTAATTATAAAACAAGAAACTACCTTTAATTTGTTCAATAAAATTTCTTAATGCTCAAACAGACACTAATCATAAGCATGACAATAAAAAAAGACATGAAGGTGCAATTATGACAAGAGAAGTTGGAACTATAGCTAAATAACTACACGTACTTGGAGAATAAACAGTGGATGACTTGCAGTGACCTCTACACTCAACCAGATGAGCAATGGGCTTTTTGTTGGTGCATGTTCCTCGGCCTCTTTCATACATCTTGAAGAAATTTACTGTTTCAGCTTTTGGAACTCGCATTGGAACACATATGCCTGTAACAGAAATCCCCATCATAAGTAGGTCTAGTCCTAAAGACAGTCTTAAAAGTATAAAAATACTGTATAAAACCATGTGATGGCATGGAAACAGATGTGACTGTAACAGAAATCAGTTGATAAATGGGTATAGTTTTATAAACAGTCTTAAGAGTATAAAAATACTGTATAAAACCAAATGTGAAACAAATCCTAATTGTAAATAGGTCCTGTTTTAAAGACATATTAACATAAAAATACTGTATAAAATAAAATGGTAATACTGTATACTGATACATCTAAGAAAAAGTATTTTTGAATAATTCAAATATTAAACTTTAAATAGTTTAAAAAAGATTAATTTTATAATACTTGTGTGCTTCATAAGAACAGTTGTAGCTTTTGGTTAATCATTTACATCCATGATGAGAATTTAATACTGAATATAGCTGTTCCAGGTGTAAAGTCAAGTTGTTAAAATAATCTCTTAATACTGAACATACTGTTCCAGGTGTAAAGTCAAGTTGTTAAAATAATCTCTTAATACTGAATATAGCTGTTCCAGGTGTAAAGTCAAGTTTTTAAAATAATCTTTTGACATTGAGTGTAGCTTTACCTGGTGTAACTTCCAACAGTTAAGATTATCTTAGTATTGAACTACTTGAGTAACCCCTAACAGTGAAGATTATCTTACACCTTTTTATCATTATTACAACTGTTAAGTCTTGTTAAAATATTTAAATGATTTAAAGTCTCACTTGCCTAAATCATAGCAAAACAAAGTAAGTAGTTTTTGTTTGTAGGAAACTATAAAACTTTGCGTTTCTTTGTTTTAACATAGACTTTATACTCAAAATATCAATTTTCATGAGGCATTAGAGAAAAGTCCTGAAACAAATAGTTTAGCTCATCTGTAGTTAGTGATTAAGTTTTATATTTTTCACAAAACAACATTTTCTTTATACAGTTTTTGATCTTGAATGTTAAATTCTGACAAGTTGTTCATATCGTTTGTAGTTTATCATTAAATTATTAACTTTCAATTTTAAAGGAAGCAGCTGTCTAGTCATATTCTTGATAATAGCTTACCTGGTATAAACCGACATTTCTTACAACAGCCAAAGTCATCGAATATAATATCTTCCTGTACAACAAAAGGTCATGAAATATTAACAAATCTCATCACTAAAGAAAATATTAATTTGATTTTCTCTGATATGTTTAAAAAGTCCTCATGGTTTGAGAATTGACTATATATATAAGATGCAATTTCAAAAATTCCATTTTCTCTATTATGTTAGAAAATTTCCTTGATGTTTCGAAATTGCTAATATATAAAAAGATATGATTTCTATAATTAGATGCTTTCTATTTTATGTTAAAAAGTCATTATGTTTGAGAAATTTTTAGCACTATGATTTCATTTCTCTAATTCGACTTTTCTATTATTTTAGAAAACTTCCCTGTGATTTGAAAAGCATTTACATTGCTTCATAGTAACTTCTGATTAGAAAAAGCTAACTACTTAATGTAACACAGAAAATCAATCTGGCAATCAGTATAGCTGATTACTTATACTTTCGTAACATTTCTAACTATAAAGATTCAAATAAACTGTTTCATAAGCTTGGTACCCTTGCTTTTAACAATATTTTCAGTTGTAATCACAATAATATTTTATGAGGTTTGGCCAGCTTAGGAAATTTAAGTTTGATGATGAGGAATACTTGGAAACTATTAAAGTTTGGGTTTGGCTTGAATGGTATAGTAATAAAAAACAAGTGTAATACAGTTAAAACACTGTACATTTGTTACCATATTAAACTGGTAAAAAGCATCTTTTTTACCCATTAAAGCCGTCTCCAAACTTCAGATTTGGCTTAGTCTTAAATACATATATTAAGCTGCCATGAAAAACAATCTGTGTAATGAAAGTATAATAATAATTACACATGAAATACAATAACCAGTATTTCTATTTAAAGTAACAACAAATAATATACTATGCCTTAGTCCAACCAGTATTTCTAATGAGACTAACAACAAATAATACACTATGCCTTAGTCCAACCAGTATATCTAATGAAAGTAACAACAAATAATACACTATGCCTTAGTCCAACCAGTATTTCTAATTAAAGTAACAACAAATAATACACTATGCCTTAGTCCAACCAGTATTTCTAATTAAAGTAACAACAAATAATACACTATGCCTTAGTCCAACCAGTATTTCTAATTAAAGTAACAACAAATAATATACTATGCCTTAGTCCAACCAGTATTTCTAATGAAACTAACAACAAATAATACACTATGCCTTAGTCCAACCAGTATTTCTAGTGAAAGTAACAACAAATAATACACTATGCTTTACTTGGGAAATAAAGAAACACCAGTAATTGGCATGTCATGGAAATAAATTTCTTGGAAAAATGTAAGTTTATTAAACACATAAGTGATTTACCTCATATTCTTCCTAGCATATTTTCTACTGAAGAAAATTCTTAATACAATAAGATGTGAATTTTCTAACTGAATGTTCTTTGCTATGGTACAGCTTTTCTATTTCTAGAGAACTTATGAAAATTTCCTAATGGCTTCAGAACTATTTGTATATCTAAGAAGATGTGTTTTCTTTAATTATATTTTCTCTTTATACAGAGAAAGATAAGTATTATTATGTATAAGTTAGCTACAAAGAAAAATAAGTATTATCACGTACAAGTTAGTTAGAGAGAAAGATAAGTATTATTATTTACAGGTTAGTTAGAGAGAAAGATAAGTATTATTATTTACAGGTTAGTTAGAGAGAAAGATAAGTATTATTATTATTTACAGGTTAGTTAGAGAGAAAGATAAGTATTATTATTATTTACAGGTTAGTTAGAGAGAAAGATAAGTATTATTATTTGTAGGTTAGTTGCAGAGAAAGATAAGTATTATTACATACAAGTTAAGCCTAGTTTGAAAGTCTTTTCAATAAAAGGTAAACCAATATTTGGTATAAATCACATATTACATTAAACAATTACTGCTGACTTTTTTTTTTATCCATAATACTAATAATGTCTCCAAAAGTCCAGGTATCTTATGAGATATATAAATTAAGCCTAAATCAACTTACAAAATATCAATACAAAATAATCATCAGTAAAACTAATTAAAATTAAATTTGCATTAAATAATAAAATCAAAAATCAGTTATTGCTACCTTATATATTACAATTTACAAATTATTATCAGCCTTTATTTTTCATGAAACAGTAAATTCTAATCAGTCATCTCCAGAAAATATTATTACGTGAATAAAAGACAACTGGGTTACAACAAAGTTATACCTTAGGACAAGTGTCAGGAATGGGAAGACATTCTCGTTTTATAAAGAGAGTCTGGATCTGGTCTTTCTTTTCTATACATTCTGCCTCATAACAAGGCTTTTCTGTAGAGTTCCACTTCACTCCAACCTTACATGAATAACGAGAAAGACATTTGAACAAAGTTCCAACTTAAGGTACATATCCATGTTTCAAATACAGATAGTTTTAACAAAGTCATATAACAATGAAACAATAAAAAAACAATACTATGATAATAATTACAACAGTAAGACACTTAAAAAACAAAATGTTTTATTTATTCAATACTTTGGCTAGTGGATTTATTTGGAGTAAATAATATATATATTTTTAAATAGAAAACTCCTTCTTTTATTAAACCAATACATTAATATAAAAATTATATAATTTCAGTTTTAAGTATAATGGTGTTGTTTATTAAATCAACAAACACAGAATGTTTAGGCCATTATTCCAATGAATAATTCAAATTTATGTAACTACTTTTTGTATTAAATTAAATATTGAAAAAAAAAAAATGTAATCATAATATATATATATATATAT